ATTTATAAGGTTTATTGTGAAAGGTGGGTAGATGTAGAACTTGTGATTCCATCTACTTGCCTTGGGCCTCCACTCGCAGCAACCTCCTCGTGGTGAGGCCTGGGCAATCGGTATTGTCATCGGTAAAGTACTGTAAACTGATGACAATATCGAGCTAATGGCTGCGAACTTCGAATCTATCTGATAAAACCACGTTCTATATTACATCGAACTAGGATTATTTTAGAAATCGATATGAGATTCAGTGTTCTAAAAATGTCTAGTACTTTGAATGTTATAGAAAATCATTTAGTGGATCTTGTAATGAAGCTTTATAAATGAATAATTTGTATTTTATCATAAATTATTAAACAACAACCCCGCGTTAGTATGTATGAGAAATATGAAATATTAATTATTTTATTTAAATGATTTTAATTACGTTTTGTGGGTAAGTTTAGGACAGAACTGTCCTAGACGTGTGGCGCGAGAATATTTTGGAATTTCTATTTTCATAAACGAAGATAGAAACTAGTACTTGTGAGAACGGGCATCATTTTTCTTCGTCACGCATTAAATTCGAAGTTTAAAGAACGTAGAATAAGACTCTCTAACGGCTGGGAACCAGTAATTACAAGAACATTGTTAAAATCACAATTTATTTGCAACGGTTGACACTCTATCTAATCATGCGTAACCCCGGTTAGTTCAATTTGCACAGCTCTTACACCGTTATACGGACAGCTTTCGTTTAGCTGAAGCAATCAATTTGTAGCTAAAAGTACGTAGATCAATCCACTGTTATTGATAATAACAATAAGCGACCAGAACACTGTTAAAATCGCATTTAATCGCGCAGTACCACTATTTTTCGACTGGTGGCGCCATCCGTGGCGAATCGCTGAAACTACTAGCCAATTATATGGGTACCAGTTTCGGCGATTAGCCACGGGTGGCGCCACCAGTCGAAAAAATAGTGGTACTCCGCGATTAAATGCGATTTTTACAGTGTTCTGGTCGTTTATTGTTATTTTCAATGACAGGCGATTAATCTACGTTCTTTCAGCTTCAAACTGAATGCTTGATCAAGACGTAACTTGTCCATAGAACGTTGGAAGAGCTATTTAAAGTGAACAAAACGGGGTACGCATGGCAAGATACACTGTCAACCGTTGCAAACAAATGCGATTTTAACAATGTTCTTGTAATTACTGGTTCCCAGCCGCTAGAACATACTGATCTGCGTTCCTCAAGCTTCGAATTTAATGCATGGCGAGGAACAATGATGCCCGTTCAGCGGTATGAATGCGATCGAAATTATTTACAATTAAAGTCGTCGCTCTTATAAGGGGCTGCGTAATACAGGCATAACTAACTTTACTTATTCTGGGGTTTGCGGTATTGGTTCCATGCATTAAGTCCTCAGGAACACTTTGAGACTAATGATGATCATTTTGAGCGCTTAATTACTGAGATATTTGCATTTTTCCATCACTAGAAATTTTCACTCACCTGTCGATATAATTTGGCTAGCAGTTTGAGCGAATTGCCACGGGTGGCGCCACCAGTCAAAAAAATAGTGGTACTCCGCAATTAAATGCGATTTTAACAGTGTTCTGGTCATTTATTGTTATTGTCAATGGCACGGAATTAATCTACGTTCTTTCAGCTACAAATCGAGTGGTTGGTCAAGACGTAAGCTATCAGCATAACGTTAGGAGAGTTGTCCAAAGTGAACTAAACGGGGTACGCATGGCAAGATACAGTGTCAATCGTTGCAAGTAAATGTGATTTTAACAATGTTCTTGTAATTACTGGTTCCCAGCCGCTAGAAAATACTAATCTACGTTCTTGGAACTTCGAATTTAATGCGTGATGAAGATAAATGATGCCCGTTCTCACAAGTACTCGTTTCTAACTTCGTTCCTATAAATAAAAATTCCAAAATCCTCTCGCGCCAAACGTCTAGGGGAGTTCTGTCCAGAACTTACGCACAACACGTAATTAGAATCTTTTTTAGGTAAAAATTGTTAAGAGATACTATTATTCCGCGTTAACTATTCTTCGGTTCTACAGCTCCGACTCGTGAGGGAATCGAATTTCTACTGTAAAATGGAAATGGGGTAACATAATCCCAGAAAAAGGGGCCGCAAAATACATTGGATGAATTTTCTACCCCTATATCTCGTCTGTGTTATTATTAATGAAGTCTAAAATCTACATTTGCTACAGTATGCTCAAATGGTGGTTCTCTTCGTCGTTAATTAAGCTGTTCTATAAAAATAACACTTCAGAGAAGTACGGTAAACAATCTTATATCGTAAATGTACAGTATTAGTTGTTTTAATTCTTTATGTTTAAAGTTTTACGTTTACATACATAACTTCTTGAGGTTTACTTTTTCTTTTCTGTCGCTAGATGGCCACACATTAACGCATCCACAGACTGGACAAATTTTTATGACATCCCAAAATGCAGAATTTGAAGCGTATTTCTGTACTATATTGTTGTAAATTACTTTAAGAAATAATTTGAATCAAATTCAAATAAATATAATCAATAATTTGTGATTTATTTTTTACTTATAAACGTTTTTATAAACTACGTTGGTGGCGCCACTCGCTACTAAACATAACGTTTATATCAATATCGTAACATGGCGTTCTCACTGTGGACACTTTTCGAAGCCACCTTGCTATGTTTAAACGCTGTTTGCGTTTTAAACGAGGAAAGGTTTCTAGCCAAAGGTGCATTTTTGTTAAGCATTTATTTACATTCCTTTTCCATTTATACAAAACTTTGCACGGTGAAAGTCAAATAGAGTTATTTAGAGGTTATGGTATCTTGTTGTGTTGGCTTTACGTCAAAATCTCAAGAAAATGTTTCTCTTCATTTCATTGTCACCGAGACACAATTTTACTGTTACGGATCACGAAGTTTTAATTAATTTCACAAAGTAGTAACTTCAATACTTTAATTTTCCAGTTGGTTGGGCGTCATGGCAAAACGTTCAAGGCTTTGGTGAAGTCCCTACAATGAAATCACAGATGCTAAACCTAATCAGGTCCATAAGAACAGTGGCAAGAGGTAATTTTATATTTTCTATTATATTTTCGAATATGTATACACGAAATCTATTTTTTTTGTTGCAGTTCCTCTGATATTTCTAAATATTATAGTGATGCTTATGAAATTGGTGCTGGGGTGATATTTGGTGTAAATAATATAAAAGAATGGTGTGCTTGTGAGGGAGTAAAACAGGATGTACATAAGTGGCATAATTAAATTCCATTATTTTTATCTTTACAAAAAACATAAAGTGCTTCCTTTATTACAAATACGAATCATTCATAAGAATTCCTTCCTATTTCTCAACTTCATAGAAAAATTCTTTCATTCCTACTTTTCCAATTTTTTCCCCCGTTTCTCGTGATAATTTCTAGACTTTTGCATCAAGAACAATTTACGTAATCGCTCGATTACTAAAGCTTTCTTAACTTTCTTAAATGTACCGAGTCGTTTACCAGTGTTTCGCATCAAGAATCATTTCCTTCGTTGTTCGATTAACTTCCGTTCCACGGTGCACAGCGGGACCACTTACACCCGCGCATTCACTCAACTTCCGGTTGAGGAATGTTGTTCCTTATCTCGCAAACATTTTCCCAGGTATAATTTAAATCGTAAATCGAACGATAACCGGATCGTAAATTATCTTCGACATTGTGGAAGCTGTGACTCGAAACTTGTCTTCATCTTTGTATGTTTACGGACGAGATAATGGCGCGCAAACGGGAAACCGATGATTTTCCCGTAACTTTCTCCCCTTCCTTGCTTTCTCAGGGTAGAAGCATCTCCGTGTAACCGATGGACGCTTCGAGCAACGATGGATTCGCGTTCCATGCGATATTGTCTTTCAAAACCGATTTACATTTAATTCTACGATCACTAATCCTCCTTTTGATTCTTCCACATTTCTTTAAACTCTTTAGAAACCACGAAATACTTTCTAATTATGGTAGTATTTTATTAATAACTCCTTAATCAATTTCAATTCTGCAGAACCAATATTTCAGATTACTAATTACGAAAATTCTTCTATATTTGTTTCGGATGTCCACATACCGGTAATGTTGAACATTCCACGACTAAATCAACGTCCGTAGATCGTTTAGCTTGCGATTAATCCGCGGTACGTACGCCGGAAATTAACCTGTTACCGTGAATACCAACGGAAATGGGAGTATCATAACGGTGCGGTCATTCTCCGACCGATCTCCTTCACCGCAACCATTGCATCGATACAGGTTGATTTCAGATTGCGCAACCGAGGCTCGTCTGATTCACAGAATTTCTGGGCACGTGGCGACCTCTTAAAATTTCACCTTCTTTTCTCTCTCTCCCTCTTTTCCTCCGAATACAACCGCGACCTGCATTCCTCGTAATTCTTTCGCGCAACGCTTATCGCGTTACATAAGTGATCCTCGCCGGGAGTCATCTCTTCTTTCTCATTTTTCTTGCCACGATTTTGATTCCTACCGCAATTAGATCCACGGAATAACATTCCAATTTTTCCTAGAGCACCGAGAACGCGTTACGTAAACCACCAAGACTGAACGTACATCGTGGCTCAAAAGTTTGTATTATATATTGTATTAACAGTAATTTTAATAATATAATATTAATAGTAATTTTCGTACTATTCTTGATCTATTGATAGAATTAAGTGCAGGAAACGTTACGTATCGTATCACCATACGTCATCTGGTCCAAAAGCACTTAGTAAATTTTTTCAATAGACCAAGAATAACAGTAAATAGTTACAAGGTAATGCAACCAACGTTTCCAAGCCTTTCCAGAAAAATTATCAATGTATGTACTATAAATTTTTGAATGTTAGTGTATTTGTTAAGTAACACGAACCTGTGGTACACTTTATAGCAGATATCATTAGAGGCACTAGAGATATAATTAGAGAGAGAAAGGACGTCCGTGGAACTTTCCTCTACTATTCAGAATCTTCTTCTTTTTCTATTATCTATACTCCTTTTTCACATCGAAAAATGTGAAAGGGTGAGCCGTTGGTCACGTGGTGATTCGCTAAGCCCACTTCTACTTATCCCATGATTACAACCCGCGGAAGTCGTCGATCTGATTCCTGGCGCGTAATTGTCGGCCGGTCTCATAATTATGGAAGAAGGCGCGCGAACGGGCCAAGCTGTTCGTTAAAAACACACATCCGTCCACCGTTAACGAAGAGCAATGTTAGGCAACGTTAGGCGTTATTCCGGTCAAAAGCTCGCGGAAACGGGGATCACGGGCGAAAGTACGGATCTGACGGAGGCCCACACGAGGCGGGCCATTGTGAACGGGCGCACGTTTTACGAGCCCGGCTGCCTCGCTCGACAAATCCTCTTCCCATAATTGGCCGAGTGGATCGCATTGTGCGTCACCATGCCCGCGTTTTTCTCTCCTTTCACACGCGGAGACTTCACCCGAAGCTGATGCCTCCTCCGATTGCGTGCAACGCGTGGAAAAAGTCGGTTCGTATACAGGGTGTCGTGTAATTGGTCGCGTACAAACGGATATCTGGTGATTCTACGTGAAAAATTAAGTTGACAATATAGAACAAATATTTTTCATCTGAGGTTTAGTTTTCGAGAGAATCGAATTTCAAGATTCATGTTCAGTAGAAACAGACTGCCATGAACAGACGCGGTAGCCAAGTCCTATTGAATTGCACCAGGAGTTGGGCACAATTTTTTAAAACGATGAATTTGCCCATTTCTAAATTGCAGGCATATTCAATAGAATTTCAACGATGATTTTCTAGAAAAGAAAAGTCTCAAAAAAATTTTATTCCATATTTTCTTATTTCTTCACGTAGAATAACTAATTATAGGACACCATGTATATTCGTCGAGTCTGGGGGAAGGGATAGTCTGAATGCTGCGACACTCTAAACAATAAAATTGTGGGTTTCCTGGCCGAAACGTATCTTGATGATAAATCGAGATCGAACGAATGATCTTCTTAATGATTCTATTATGTTTGTCCATCGCATTGTCACTAGGTACAGATGTGTATTATAAACACTTGACTCGTTTGTTAGATTGCAAACGAAATTATTCCAGTTGTATTTGGAGAAGATTGAAGTCTGTAATATTCCCTATATGTATAGGTTCCACATCGATAGATCTGAATTCCGTAGATCTGGAGCACGTATCTCATTGCGTGCGCGCGTTTTTCTTCGTTCGCACGGCTTCTAGCTGGCGGGCACACGTTTATGGATTATGCACCAGGCTCTTACAAAATTCCACGGAGAGTCTCACACAGTCTGCTGAACGAGGCGGCCGAGTACAGCACTTTCCCCGCTGGACATTTGTACATACATACGTAAGTCTTTTAGAATGGACGAATCGTTGATAGACCGATTTCCTCGCTTCTTCGGAGAAATAACACTTTCCCGACTTCAATTATTCAATCGTGAACCGAGAGGATCATGTATTATGGATGCTCGGTGTCTTCGTTGAAGCATCCAAGGCTCATAAAGGTGTTTAGGGATTGATGTCGCGTAAAAAATAAGCTAAACGTAAATTTTACGTGGATATATATACAGTAAATTCTCGATGAGTGCTGCAAGGCTTCTCGGAATTTATTAAATATTTCATAAAGTAATGGTCATATGCGGCTGAAAGGAATATCATTGGCTTCAGAATTCCAAGTTTTATGAATATGCTAAATTTCATTAAAAAGTCGGCGTTACACGATTGTCAGTGTCGAGGAACATTCGAACACTCATCGATGATTTGCTGTACGATGAATTTCACGTCACTGTTCTGTATAAAGTGTACCCTTATTAGGTTCATTCTAACATTAATACCAGCTTAACAGTTACTCGTACAGTTAACTCAATCCAGAAAAGATCCTAGATTCTTTTGTCTGTAACGGCTTGCTTGCTCAATCAAACGCAATCAAATTGTGGAACGCAGACGAACATTCGCCGTAATGCTTTAATTTTAGCCAAGGCGTAGGTGCGAGTCGAGCGCTCCATCACGGTGCTGCATAATTTCGCCACCCTCGCATTGTTTTACCCGGTTACTTAATTCCCTGCGACTCATTACCCATTTTCTAATTACCCCTACAAGCACTCCGGCCGTAAATCGAATTTTCAAGCAGAATTTTCCATCGTGCGAGCACAATGTCTCCGTCAAATTACCGCTGTAATCGTTTCAATCTCGAACGATTAAACGTCCATGTCGATCCATTGCCTCTAATAAACCTCACGAATCCCATAAGACGACGGTAATTAACCGTTTCCACCCCCTACCTGGCTCGAACATCCTCGTGATAATTCTAAAAAAAGGAAATTCTCGGCTGTGCGACAGCCAGTCGTCTTAATAAATTTGTTACATCTCGCAAGTTGCATAAGCAACGAAATCTAAACATTCTGTAACAGATTTAACGCTCCGTATCGTAACTCATTACTCGTCCTCTAAACGCTTCAATTACGTGTATTACGATCGCGTGGCTGGCAGAAGTTTCCGATATGGACCAGATAAAACATTATTACGATGCATAAATCTTGCGCAATCCCTCGATGCCTCTTTCGTTTTTTTCATGGAAATTTTGTTGAAAGATTCCTTTAGGTCCATATACAGAGATGGAATAATTTGGTAGACCACGATGATCGAGAGAAAAATCTCTCTGCATGGTCATCATCATCGGAGGAGGAATTCGTGGCCTCTGTGTCCGGCCACTTTCGAATTCTCTGACCAGTGGTCTCCTTTTGCAACCATCTGCTAAACATTGCTCGCCGAGACTTTACGTCATGTCCAGCGCGGGAAGATCGTCGGGCCCCTCGGCTGACGACACGATTGGCGCAGTGAAAGGAGAAAGGCGGCTGTTTGCGCGACGAACGAAAAGAAACAACGAACGAAAAAAAAAAAAAAAAAAAAAAAAAAAAAAAAAAAAAAAAAAAAAAAAAAAAAAAAAAAAGAAATGTTCGGTGTCTCTTGGAGGAGCGTGCGAAGAAAAAATGGCGAGGAGGTCACGCGTATGGAACCTCGAGCGTGGTAACGATCGTGACGCTCGTAATTCAGGAAGAAGAATGATCGTCGCGAAAAAGAGAAATTAAGGACGAGGATAGCAGTGGACTTGCTTGGGTAAGAAAGCTTATCGATAATTTTCGTTCACGTAACAGAAACGCTGGAGACTGGTTCAACGGTGGCGACGTTTTTTTTTATTTTTTTCTACAAAAGAAGCCTTTATACAAGTATAAAAAAGATGCGTGGTTAAGGAGTAGCGTTTGAAACATATAAAAAAATAGTGTGTATCTCTGTAGGTGTGTGTACGTGTACAATGTCCGCGTTCAGCGTCCGGGTCCTCCGTGACCCGAGGATGGTTGTTTTATTTCGATTTTTCTCCCATCGATCGTTTCGTGCCCCTTCCGTGATGTCGATCGAATTCGAATGAATTTTAATGTTGGTGTCCTCCTCTGAATCGGTCGAATCACGCAAGCCAGAACGCTGTTGGTTAAACGTGTGTTTATGTATGCGTGTATGTGTATGTATGATTGTATTTACAAGGCACGTTACCGTGCCGATCACGGCTTCGACTTCGACTTCGGGCCCACGGCTCAACGGCCTCTAAAAGTTATTCGAGTCTTATGAATCTACTAATGGAATCTCTTTGAGATCCGTTCTCAGCTTATCACTGGGGAGGTTAAAGTGTGTGTCCCTTCGCGGACACGACCGCGATGACGAATAATGATTTTGGTACGACGGAATCGCTCTCGACACGTTGCCGACCGATCGGATCGTTAAGACTGAAGTCTGTCGTTCCGTACGTTCAAGTTCACTCCTCGAGCCCCGACCCGTTGAAGCGACGACCCTTTAATCCTCAACGGGACAGGCAACCCGGAGCTTCGTTTTACCTATTCGCACGTGCGACTGTATTTAGATTCCAAGGAGGCTCGTGGCCCGTTGAAGCGACGACGACTGGGTTTCAACGAGACAGGAGCCTGGGAATCCTTTATCCGATATTTCCCTGAAACGTGCCAGCCTGGTTTCTTCTTTTGCTTCGTTCTCTCTGAACTTCGACCCGTCGAAACGACGACCTTCGATCTATGGGGACCATGGATCCCTGACGTTAAACTTGCTCGTTTTGAATGATACGACCTGAGCTGACGAATAGTCCCTTAACGATCCGTCCTTCTTTACGACGACCTTTCGAGCGGTTTGATGGTGAAAGGAAACGTTTCACTTGAGGGTTAAAACTTCCCGTTGGCAAAGTTGAAGCTCTTGTATAGTTGATCCGGACTGGTCTGATCGACCAAACACATCTAACTCGATTCAGCTCGAAAAATAGTCGCGGTGTGATCGACAAGTGTCTTCACTCTTCTCTCTTTCTTCTCTCTCTCTATCTCTCTATCTCTCTCACCCTACATCCAATCCATGAATCTCTGTTAACCGCTTAGTACGGTGCACCGTAGCTACCACTGGGTCTGCTTGGTGCCCCGTAGCTACCGCTTGGTCCGCTCGGGTAGCCGCCAGGCCCTTGACTGATTTGGTTGAACTGAGCCACTTGGATGGCCTGTTTGATCCCCTCGAGATCGATGCCTGTCACACGGTACTGGATGGACGGTACACCGTAAGAGGAGCTGGGAGCACCGTATTGGCTGGACGGTGCGCCGTAGCTGGAGCTAGGGGCGTAGCCACCACCGCCGCCAAAGCCACCGGTTTGTTGGGACTGGAGTTCCTCTTTCAGGAGGATCTGACGAATTTGCTCGAGCAGAGCACCGTCGACAGAAGCGCCCTCGTTGGTTTGATAGCCGGTGGACACAGGGGTGTATCCTCCACCTCCACCACCGCCTCCAAGTGAGTAGCCACCGCCACCGCCACCGCCGCCGCCGAGCGAGTAGCTACTTCCACCGCCACCACTGGGCCTGTTGTAGTTGTAGCCCGACGAGACTGGCGGTTCGGCAAGGGCGAACCCTACCAAGCCGACGATCATACACTGTAATGTAAAGATTCGATGTTCCGTTAGCTCCAAGTCGCAGCCGTAAGAAAGGCACGATTGTCGGGTAGAAAGTTTCGCCCGGAGGGATCGTTTCGGGTTAGTCTTGCGAGGTTCGGTGTGCTCGAGGGAAAGAAGAAAAATCGACCTCGATCATCGGGGCGTGGTTAAAGATAAAAAAAGACGCCGCGGTCGAAAGGGAAAGTTGTTCGAGGTGTACGTTAGTCCGAGAAATAAAGGAAATATGGAAAACTTTGATCCAAATAGCTTCCGTTTAGAGAAATCGATTAGAGGACACTTCTTGGTATACTCGAGGATACACAGAGGACACTGAATCGTTTCCAGGGTCCGATCACTTCGACGATGTATGCTTCTACACTTTTCTGGGTTCACACTAGGTTCGCTTGAATTCTCGGATTAATGTTGTTAGATGAATTATGGTGCGTGCTTACCGCGATCAGAGGATTCATGTCGGCTTCTGCGATGCCGCTCGGTTCTGTGACTCTGTAGAAGGTAGACCAGGGTCCTTTATACCCCCGCGAGAAGCAGGGGGATACTTGAGGCCCCCACGAAGAAGAGACGGGGGCCTCTCGAGTGAGAGTAATTCAGCTGTGAGACGATTCTCTCTCCGTCTCCCCCCTCCTCGTCGTGCCTAGCGACGCTGTCCTTTCAATTGTGGTAGCTTCTCTCTTTTGCCGCCGGGCGTCACAACGGATCGTCCTCCTTCCCCAGAGAGACGATCCACCTTCTTGGCCCTGTTGGGTACGCCGAATTCGGTGGTCAGTTGCGAAATTGTCCCTCCTCTCGGGACTGTTACACACTGTATACCTACACAACCTGCGTCCTAGACCTAGACTCCTTTTGCGTGTTCGCTCCTTGAATCGTCTAAGGATTTCGTAAATCGTCTTTGACCCGGAGCGATCGCGTCTCGGTTCGATCTTGGCCCCAGGATTCTCTAATTGCGTGGCGTAACTCGTGAAAGGTTCGTATACTAGACGATTTCGTTGGTTCTTACTGTAATAATAAACGATCCGGGAATTCCCCCTGGATCGCCGAAGAAAAAAAAAAAGACAACATCGATTTCTCTGGTCTTTCAATTATTCGCGGCAGGTTTTTGAAGGAGGATTTCATGAAATTTTTGCCTCGACTTGATCAACTCGCGAGCACGGCCCGGCCAGATCTGCTTAAAATTTCTATCATTAACATTCTGTCCGTGGTCCCACGAAACGGCACGTAGAACCATCGATCTAACATTCAAGTAGACCACTGGGACGTTCGCGTTTTGAGGCATATTCAAACGTTTGACCGGCTGCATCACAATTTACTCGACGTCGTACGCGATGAAAACGGGGCAAAGGGAAGTGCAGGTTTTACTGCTTCGCAGTCGTTTTATTGCTTGTTGCAGCGAGGAAACATGTTACTTAATGTTGTAGATGGATATAGAATAATTCCCGTAAACATTTCCGAACGATCCTCGGGGATATTGTAAAGGTGCATGAAGATGAATCGAAAATAATGATGAAGTATCGATAATTTAAGGAAACTAGATATTTCTTCTCTAATCTTATTACCTCACAACGCTGAAATAGTAAATTTATTATCCCTTATAGTACCTTATAAGTTTTCTGGGTGCCATCCAAAAATACCTTGAAAAATATGCGAATTTTAAGGTATCTATTAAAATTAAAATATTAAATATTCACAATTTTTTAATTTTATTACTCCTATCCAGTAAACGTGTGTTCCACTGTATAAACTTATTTTCTAAATAAAAACTATCATTACAAGTGTCTAAATTATATTAAAAATGAAAAACTGATATTTTTCGAAAAAACCCACAAAACCGATATATCGAGTCTAGGCTACTAAAAGGGTTAAAGAAACATGAATTTTCTGCGTGGAACGTTATTTCTACCGAGTATTTCATCAGTATCATAATACATATTAACTCCTCGATCGTTAAACACAGGCTGCATCGAACATTTTTATCCGCTTCATTGCGCCCGTTTTACGTAACCCATTTACATAACGAAAGAAAACAAAAGATTGTCGCGGAAAGATGATCGTGCGAGCACAAGCCCAGAGTCACCCGGTAGATCGTTGATCCTAGCTCTCCAGGGGAAGAGTATCAGGAAGAAAAGTGCGCGGTCGACGTTGTATCATCCTCGCGGGATAGCTTCCTCTCGTTTCGAGAGTAATAATCTTCGTTTATGCGAGCCGTGCTCGTCTTCCTTCCACTCAGAGACGTTCGTGCGATCCAATGTGTACGTATAATACGGATCCAACGCACATATGCACGATGAAATATCAGAGAATACCGGACTCTGTCCAGCTCTGGTTCGTGCGAGGCTACGATGCCACGAAACGAGAGGGAAAACGCTTTCTTCGACGTGGAATTTAATTATCCGGTTCGTGAACTCTTGACCCACTTCACAATGAATTCCGTTCGAATGTTGCTGGTCATCCCTCGTATCTGTTCCTTTTTTTTTTGTTCCAGGTTCGCCCCATTTCCGGGGAGATTCGGGGCTAACCTGCTCGATCTTCTAACCAGTCGTTGAGCTCTAACTGGGGAACATAATCCTGGGATTCCACGATCTCTGCTGTTTTTTTTTTCGATTCCAAAAATCCTGGGATTTGATATAATTATTCCCGGGAATTTCGGGATTTTTTGAAAATGTGTATTACTTTATGAACAACTCGGAAATGTGAAAATAAATAGAATAAAGGAACATGATCTTTACATAATAATAAGGATATAACAATAATGATTTATTTAAATATTAATATTAATTCGAATATTATTATTATTATTGTACTTATTGTTATGAAATGACTACCTACGTTCATTTATTCTATTTATTTATTTTTAGTTGTTTATAAAGTAACTCGAATTCTTTTAAAATCTATAAATACTTTTGGAATCCAAAATCCAATTGCCCAGCTCTGACAGGCTTCTAATGTTCACGAGTCCCAATGAAACGTCAGTATATCATCGTTGTAGAAGTGAGAAGCGACGTGTGTATAATCGATGGACGTTGGAGATAATGGTTTAATTAAAATCGAAGGAAGCAGGAAACACGGGTCTGTGTTTCGATGGTAATAAGCTTCTGTAATGAACGTAGCCTGATAGGAATATTGAAAAGCATTGAGCATGCTAGTGTTACGAAACGATGTTTCTTAGGGGGCAGAGAATTTTTCGAAGTATCGGACACCATTTTTCTTTATTTATGAGAATTTGAATACTCAAACGAAGCGAATGGAAGTATTTACGATTGTACCGTGGGCGTCGAACGACTAGTAATGGAGAATGATAATGAGAGACTGCCACTGTTCGGCAATAAATAAATTCGTGTCCGTCGAACAAGGAGAAAGCAAGAGAGGCTGGGAGGGTCCGGAGCGAACACCTTGCTCTTCATCGGTGAAGCCACGCATTGTACCGGTACCCGCATCTTTCGTGCTTTGTAACAATTCGAAACCGTGCCCATATACGAATAAACCGCAACCGTTCGCAGACCAGCAAGAAATTCCTTAAATCGTACAGGCTCGATTGCATATATTCACGCAAGAATATCCTCGACTTCGAAACGTTCAAATGTCATCGTTTCTCCGAGGGATCAACATTCTTTCTTTAAGAAAAAAAAAAAAAAAAAGAAAAAAATGGACATCGACCTAGTTCATCATAGGCGATGTGAGGAAACATTGTACACGAAATATGAGAGATCGAATGAAAGATTAATCGGTGTTTACCTAGGCGATCGAGCGAAAATTTCGATTTCCTCGATCGTTCTGACGCGATTCATCGGGGTACCAGTCGATTCGAATGACTCGTAATATTTTCTGGCCCTCGAGTCACGTCTCCGTCGTGTACTGCATCCGAGTTTCTCGGATATTAATGTTGCAGGGTCGCGCGAAAGAAGGGGAATCCGTGGGCCTGGGGGCTTGACTTTCGCTCGGCCCGTCAGCTTCAGCGTATCTCGGACGGAGTCTTCTTCCTCTTCGAAGCTGTGTATCGCGTTGTTTTTGTTCCAGCTCGACAAAACGCGTCGTGAGCACCGGAGCTAATTGTTGGTTGCCTCGGGGGATACGAAGGGCTCTATGTAATCGACGAATATTTTTCGGCTGTAGCCGATTTCACCGGCAGAAGCTCGAGAGCTTTGAATTAAAACTTATTTCCCCTTTAGCGACCAGAAAAAAGATGACACTTAGGAATTTTTTTTGAAGAAAGTAAACAGAATGTTATAAAAATACTTCGTGGCTGTCATTTATTATACATTCTGGTAAATAAAAACAATTTTTGATTCAATATTCCTGCATTATAGGTAGCGCTGATCGTGTTCTTGGTAGCGCTAATCATAACGTAAAAAATTACTAATCGATTTTAAAAATTCTACTGACATTCTTTTTGAATCATATTATTCATCAAATTTTGAAGAATAAATTCTTTTGTTATTCACAATGTTACACGTAAAATTGCCTCCTTTTTTGCATATCTTTGTTGAAACTCATACTAAAAATTTGATAAAAACTCATACCAGAAATTTTCATTTCGGACTACTCTGCATTGAGATATCGTGGGCACCGTATGTACAATGCAATTTTGGATCGACACGATTAAATTTTTTTTATTTACTTGAGTGTATAATAAAGAATGGCCAAAAAGTTTTTTTGATCATATCGTCTTTGCATTCTTTTTAAAACATTACTAAATTTCACCTTCATTCGGGCCGCTATAAAGGGGAAAGGGGCCTCAACGAACGAAAGTTCAGTGAATTAGACGATTCGAAATTTCTTCAGCATTGTCCAAATCTTCGTAAGAATATTCACGTGTCTGTGCCAGCGGCAACACTTTTGAGGGAAGACACTTTTGTTT